GAAAGGCAGTAGCTTGCGGGCAGAACACTCATGTCCCCGATGTCCCTTTTTGCAGCTTCTGGAGCCCTCTCTGACCATGACAGTTCAACATTGGTATGATTTCCTGCCAATGTGGGACCCCCCCAAATCTCACCCCCCCAAATATAATCACCCCACTCACTGTAGCTCTTAGGTGCAAGATGCCCCCCTCCCAAAAATTTAGCCACCATGACATATATACAATAGATCCCAATTTAATTTTTGGAATCTACAGCTGAGGCTGAGAAGTACTTCTTAAAATAATGGTGAATCCCAGCCGGTCTCAGATAGCATAGAACTGGATGGAGCAAGAGTCCAGCTTGATATAAGGCAACTTTCAGTGTCTTAAAGAATTATTGTAGTTCACAGATAGAATTCATGCAAAAAATTTCAGATGTGTCCAGTAAGGTCAGAGAAGGACATCTTTCTGAAGAACTCTCTTCTTCCTTCCTTGTTCAAATATTTGTCATTGTTCCATGATGGAGTGAATTCTGATGGTTCTTTATATGACACACTCTTTTCCCCAGCCCCTAAAAACTTGGGTTAATTGAATGAATGGATAAGGGAGTATCCAGGTGGCAATATCTTCCCACATGGTTTGTTGTATAATGTCAACTTGAATGGGGAAGTAGTTCCTTGAAAAAGCAGAAAGGCAACCAAGGCTGTAAGACTTGTCAGACCAGCAGGCATTAGTTGGGTGTTGTAGATGTGAGTCTCCATGAATCAACTCCTAATGCTCTTTGCCTTTGGGTTTAGGGTGTGCAGAAGGGCCTTTTCTCTTCACAACTTCCCATTTCAGTCATTCTCTACTACTCTAAAAATATGAAGTCTTTGATATCTTCAGGGATCATGGATGAATAGAGTTCTTCAAAGCCCAACACCATGGGTGGCTCCAAACGTAGTACAATACAGTACACACTATTTTTAATAAAATCAGGTGAGCTCCTCACATTATCCCTTACACTGTCTAGTTGGTGACTCTGTTCTCTGAAGGAGGGAAATGAAGGGGGGAGAGAAATTGGAAGCCCTTGAAACATGTGCATTGGGACCCAGGTCTTGCACACAGCTAGCAGGAACATTGCTGATGAAGCCTGAGAGAAAGGCCCATACCCCAAAGGGACTGCAGGTCAAAAGTAGGGCTCCAGCTTTGCATGCAGATAGCATGGTTATTTATTATAACATGGTTCTAGATCTAGAAATATTTGGAAAGGTTCTTGTGTAGAACATAACCTTGTGCAATCTACAATCCACCATATAAATAGCTGTAACCAATTATACCTACGTTTAAACAACAGCCTTATCAATCAGATAACAATGCACATTGGTAAGTGTTCCTATAAACTGCAGATGAGTTGGATTTCAACTCCTAGTATCCCTATACAGCACAGCAAATGATCCTGTGGGTTGAAGTCCGTATCTACAGAGCACCAGATTGGAGAAATATGATTGATAGGACATGGGAGAATTAGAAGGTCCTGTAATGATGGTTGCAGTGGCAGGGTAGATCTAAGTGGAAAAACTTGTCCTTTCAGTTCCCCTTTAGTTCTACTGTACCTTGACTTCTGGTTCTTTGGGATTCCCCAACCAAAAGGATCATGTACCAAGGCATGGAAAAAAGGGGATTCTCAGGAGCTCTATCAGGCAGAAGGCATAAGTTCCAAACTTAGATACGTTTGATTGCGTTCACACACTGCTGTAAGCTGTATAATGTTGTTAGTTTATCATGGTGCATGAGGCTACTCTTTATGGCTTAATATAGCATCTGAACTGGCTTGTTACAAACTATAGCTTAAAATTCTTGGTTACGTCTATGTGTGAAAACAGCCCTCTTCATTTGTCCTTTGCTTGTTTCCATCCACTGGCCCTCATTGTTGGCTTTTGCACAAATGGCAACGTTGGAGGAAATGATCTTGCTGTCTAATTTTTGCTGTGCTGTCAGTTTCCTTCCTCAACTGAAGGTTTTACTCCTGTCCACTGCCCTGCTTTACCCCTCACCCCGAGTGCAAATCCTATTTCAATCTATTCATTATGGCTTTGTGTCTCTGGTAGAGCAATAAGTATCATCCTGCCATGCAGTGAGAAATTTGAAGACGTTCCACCACCATATTACAGTTTTATTCGATAGATGGCCTTGACAGTATCTGTTTTATAGTTTGCCTGACTATATAGCACTGTGATGGGTCTGACAACATGCCATTAAGCACTGATGGCTTACACATGCAGACTTAGACTCTTGTGATCAGCTGGTCGCTATCTGGTGCAGGGATAAAATTGGATTTGCGCATTTCAGGAGGAGGAAAAGTCAGAGAGCATCTCCCCACCCTTTATTGTATTCATCTGAACTGTTTTAAAGTGTGTGAGAAGGTTCCTTATGTATGTGCTCCAACCTTTCCCAATCTGGCTGTGGCTGATGGGTATGCTGATCCAACTCATCTGCAGGGCCCAGCTTGGAGAAGGAGTGAAGGGTGTGGGCAAAGGCAGCAGAGTTAAACCAGATCAAAAAGGCCAATACTGCTTCAGGTGCCCAACCGATGGCCTTGCCTGTTGCCTCTTTAAAGCTGCCACCAAATTGTAGCACTGAATATGGGGGAAGGGGGAGAATAATTGACTACAGGATGAGCGATTGTATTGACAAGTTCTGTTATTTAATTCAAATGGAATTCAGTTACATTCAGCCAGATTTTGTCTACACCTCTGCATTCTGTGCATGCATGACCCCTTGCATGCTTTCTAAAAACTGGGTATAAACCAGAAAAAAGCTGTTGACTCCTGATTTAAATCATCATTGGATGTATTAACTCAAAGCAAAGCGAACTGGAACATGGAGGGTTCATCCTTTTGAATCTTATCAGGAGCAATTGTTAAGAAGAGAAAATCTGTTGAGAGCCAACAAGCGGCTTTGCTGTGGTAGGGAAGGGTGGCTGGCTGGCTGGCTGTAAAAAAATAAACAAACCTCACACTAATACTGGAATTCAACTTAAAGTTGGAAAGGGATTTAGAACTAACTCATAACTCTCCGCTGATAAGGTCTTAGCTAGCAGTGAAGTGTCCTTATAAGCAAAAAGTATAGGATTACTTTTCAGTATAAACTTAGTGTAAGCTCTGTTTTGGAATAAAATCTAGGACAAGTGTAACTCATCAACAGTTAGATGGAAATTAGCATTCCCCATCTTTGTTCTTTATAGATATTCCATGATATCATCACAGAAAGTTTCTGCAGACTGCTGCATAAACTAGGGGTCAGTAACAATGGAGCAGAACTCATAATTCCCCTAATGGGGCTTGTAGACCCTTTCAGTGAAAATATAAAAGAGTTGAATGTTTATGAGAGTGCGAGATCTTGTGATCTGTTGTTGGTCTTGTTTGGAAGAGTGGATAAGAATGCCAAATATCCCTTGAGATTGCATGATTAAATCCAGGGAAAGTTAATGCTTGATTTTAAAAGCATACTGAAATGTTCTTAAATGTCCTTTCCCCTGAGGTGAGGCTGGCTCCAACTCTGTTGACCTTCCAGAAGGCCCTCAAAACGAGGTTTTGTCAACTGGCCTGGGGATTCCATAATAGAATGGAGCCTGCTAGATGGTTACGTGGTGGTTGACTGAATGCACTCTCTGTACGGGTTTTTTTGCCATTTTGTTTTTTATCTTTTTAATTTATTTTGGTTGCTTTTTTAATGGGTTTTTATCTATTTGGATTGCTTTATTGTGTACGCCGCCCAGAGTCACTATGTGAGATAGGCAGCTATGTGAATGTGATAAAACAGACAGACAAATAAATAAATGTATGTGGACTGACATTTAGTTTCCATCTTGGCTCTACCTAATTTTGGGAGTGTGGTTCTCAAAAGAGTCCTCGGCCCCGAAATTTGCGTGACCTTGTTCTAGATCATCTTGACAAATTAAGAATCAGATGATTCCCATCAGTTTTGTTAAGAAACAAATGTGAAATGCTGATCTTCAACAACAGTGTAACATGTCCCTGGTGTGATGGAGGAGTATAAAATTATATGTAGTGTAAAGAAATGCTAGAACCTGCCATCATGTGATGAAAGTAAAAGATAGGCAGTTTAGGATGGATAAAAGAAATACTATTTCATTAAATACATGGTTAAATGATAAACTCTGCTACATGACACATACTGTTGGCTATGGATGCTTTAGAGGAAGGTTAGACAAATTATGGAGGATGAAATTAACAATGGCTATCATGATGGCAATGTATTATCTCCTATAACAGGTAACATATACCAGTTGTGGATAAACACGTGTCCAACTTGTGGATTTCCTCCTGCCAATTTGGAGCAAGGTTACAAACTAGTTAAACTTTGCTGTGGTCAAACAGGTTCTTCTTATGGTAGGCATTGAATTTGGGCAGTTACGCTCCACCACTGAGTTACAAACCTTGGCTCAAAGATAGGAGTGAGTGAATAAGTGAGCAAGTGCAATTCAGAATATGCTTTTTTAGTACGTTCACTAATGGGAGATGATGACTCTTGAGTATGTGGGGGAAATCTTCACTGATTTCAAGTTGGGATGGGTAGTTCTGCTAGAGGATGCTGCAGAGATAAAACTGGTGGACTTCCATAAATTCATGTCAGGCTTGGAATCTTAGACTTGGTTGTAGAGAAGCCCAGATTTTAAGGCAGTCTGGGAGTAGTCTTATCCAACTATTTCAGGGATGTTGCAGAACTCCAAATGCTGCTCCAAGATAGGGTGGGAAATGCCTGACTTTAAATATTTTTCTTTCTCTCTGTGCCCCATTTTCTTTTGCAGATGACTGACCTGCTCCTCTCGTTTTTAATCCTGAAGCCAGATTGTTTTAACTAAAGATGGAAACACTGGAGTCGGAACTGACTTGTCCAATTTGTTTAGAGTTGTTCGAAGACCCTCTTCTTCTGCCGTGTGCTCACAGCCTGTGCTTTAGCTGCGCCCACCGCATTTTGGTCTCCAGCTGCTCCTCCGGTGAGAACCTTGAACCCATCACTGCCTTCCAGTGCCCCACTTGCCGACATGTCATCTCCCTTAACCATCGGGGCCTAGAAGGCCTTAAACGCAATGTGACCTTGCAGAATATCATTGACCGCTTCCAGAAGGCCTCTCTGAGTGGGCCCAGTTCCCCCAGTGAGAACTATCGTGAGCGGCCCTATCGCCACAGCCCGACCATGTCGACAGTGGGAGACCGGATAGCTTGCCAGTTCTGCGAGCAGGACCCTCCCCGCGACGCCGTCAAGACCTGCATTACTTGCGAGGTGTCCTACTGTGACCGCTGTCTGCGGGCCACCCACCCCAACAAGAAGCCATTCACCAGCCACCGGCTGGTGGAGCCTGTGCCGGACGCTCACTTCCGGGGGCTGACATGCCTTGAGCACGAAAATGAGAAGGTGAACATGTACTGTGTGGCTGATGACCAGCTCATCTGTGCCTTATGCAAACTGGTGGGGCGGCACCGGGATCACCAAGTGGCGTCCCTGAGTGACCGGTTTGAGAAGCTCAAGGTAAGTAGAGGTGGGCAGGTGAAGCAGGGGTGGGGGCCATGTTAAAAGGTCCAGATCGTATTTTTTTGTAACGAGGTAGAATTTGGATATAATCCAGCCTCAGTTTTGAAGGTGATGAGGAACAGCAAAATGGACATAATTTGGATTGAATCATTGTAATAAAACATCTTTCATTCTCTCTGACTTTTATTTGGGCTTAAATCAACATTCTTACTAAAGGGAGGGACTTTTTTGGGGGTGGGGGAGATTGTTACAATCCTGTGATTGTGTCCCCCAGACTGACCAGGATCCAGGGTGAATGAGGATTGACAAAATTGGGGGTGTAGTTTTTGGGTAATGCAGTGCTTTGTATTCCAAGGGAAAAAGGTGCTTCAGAACACATAGGGTCTTCAGGTAGCAGATGTTGGTGACTCTTTAAAGCAGCCGCATCTTGTTCTGTCCTCAACAGCTGCAGAGCTATTCTGCAAAAAGATATTACCAGAAGATACTATCTGTACGTCCACATGTGCAGCATCTTTCTCTTCATATCTTCATCTCTGTGCTGCACAGCTGGAGTAGTTTGAAAACAGCTGTATCTTGATCTTCTACATCAGACTGTTTGGTCCATCTGCCTTGCTCACTGCTTTTCCTGGCAGTGGATCTCAAGGGTTTCAGGCTGCAGTGTTTCTTATCACATATTCCAGAACAGGGCAACTGCTGAACGGCTGGAAGATACAACTCAGCCTCCCAAACTTCTGGAGGGTTGCATGAAACCATTGGGTGACACAGTGACCATGGGAAAGAGGTATTAATGATATTTTTGGTGTGCAGGATTTGGATGGTAATGGAAGCAGGAGGCTGGTGGAGAGACACGCCTGACATACCCACCCCTAAAGTTCACCTTCCTCAAACTTGAGATATACCGTGAAATTGCACCACTGAAATTTAGCTATTTTGTTGCTGAATTTTAGTGACGCAGTCTTGGGGTGCTGGTAAGCCACCTGCTGCCTATGGGTGATGAGTTGTTCACCTCAATCTAGTGGCTGACTGTTCCTTTTAATAGGAGCGTTCTTACTCAACAGGGGACACGTTGTATCACAGAGTTTTGTCTCAATAATGAACACTGATGAATCATTGACTCAATCCACTTAGTATTGTCTATTCTGATTAATAGTTTATTTTCTCCCCCCTACCTGTCTTTTAATGGAGATGCAGGAATCAAATTAGTAGCCCCCGGTCCTTCCTGGCACTGAAAGTGGGTGGTAGTTATAAACTGCTTTTCAGGGAAGCGAGAAGGGTCATTCAGCCTTGCATTCTTACATGCTAATCAGTTCTGTGAATCAGCTCTTGGATTATCCAGCAAAGAATCTTGCCTACCAAAATACGCTGGACCACCTTTGCAGGTTGCTTTGGTGAATGAAGAGCTGTTCTTTTCTTGGGGATGGTACTAGATTCTGGCTAGATGTGACCAGTGTTAGCACTGCAGGCTGGTAGTGAAGAAGGCTTGAGCGCTCTTAAAGGTTTTAGTTATATGTCTTGTGGGAGTTATACCAGAACCACAAGACAAACAAGTTCAAGGTTTTGAGCTTAGTCACTCCTCCTTTGTGGATTGGCAGGGTCAATTCTGGGCCAGTTTTGTAAGATCTAACCATAAAACACAGAGTAAGCCTCCAGGCTCTGAAAGTCAGCAAATGTGTCATTTGTGCTAAAAACTGCAGAAGAACTGGTATTTACCGAAGTGATGTGTGGTCTGCTGCATAGGGACATGATGGAATAAAACTGAACTGCAGAGAAAGGATCCAGAGGAAACTGGGGTGGGTAGGACTGTAGATGTTACCATGCCATCTTTGTTTAGAAAGGAAGGAAGAAAGGTTTATAGAACTAAATCTGTATCTTAAATTATTGGCCTAGGTGAGGCTCACTAGCATCTCTTCTAGGTGATGCATCACCGTCCATGGTGAACCAAGAAGAATGAATAACCTCCTGAATTCATTGCCACAGGATGCCACAGTCAAAGACAGCTTAGCAAGGACAAAAGATTCTGTTTAACGCCTTTACTTGTGATGAATGAGACCGGTGTGCAAATCCAGAGATAAGCAGAAGGTTGAGATTGTTTGTTATCACTTTGACTGTGAGCTTCCTTGAATGTTTGCACAGTTTATCTTGGCTTATATTACTCCCAGTTTCCTTTGCTGACCAACATGTTGGTCCTGCAAGGAATAGGCTTAACATCTGCTTATGTTTATTTTAGCACCCATCGATCTCTTAAGCTGTTCAGAGCAGAGCTTTCTTGATCCTCTTGCTAACCATCCATTGAAATACTGGGATGGGTGGGTGAGTAGATACCAGTTTTTTCTAGTAAAGGGAATAGGCTTGTTTAGAATTTTCCCTCCCCCTTACCTGTTGACCCTTCATATTTTTAGTAGGTCTACTTGCTTGCTGTTGGACCCTGGACAAGATTTAGCATGATTGCAATTCCTGTATGAGAAAGGAATAGTAGCAGGCTTGAACCAATGTCCTAGAGAGAAACTCCTTGTCTTGAAACTTATTTTCAGAGGCTCTTGGTGACCACTTGTATAAAAAGACCAGATTGGATGTCAGCTAATCAACCTTCTTCCCTCAGTCCCTTTTTATGGCCTTGGAAAGACTAACCTTACACAGTTGAAATTCAAAAATAATATTCCAAGTTACTAGGGTCCAATTTCCTGCCATTTTTTTGGAGGGATCAGGAAATGCCAGGAAAAAAGTGTTAAGCTCCTGCCAGACTCCAGTCCTCTATTACTGTCCAAAATAGATGAGTCTCTTTGGAATGTATTTTGTGCTGAGCTAGGAGTGTTGCTCTGTTTGTTAGCTTTTACAATGCAGTGTTGCACATCTTTTAAAGCAGGCTTCCTGTTGCTGATTATTTAATTTTACTATTGTTGGTTTTAACTATTGTTTGAAGCTTCTTTTGTGAACCACCAGAGAACTTGGGCTGTTGTTGGTGTAATGAGCTTAAGTAATAAAAATATTCCCCCATAACTGAAAATATTGCATCTCTTTCCTGAGATCAGGACATGTCATGATGTCATGACACTGTTGCCATAAAACCCTTGGTTGCTTAAAATTATATGTATATATTTTAAAGTGAGACAACTCCCCATGGCTCTCAAAAGGTTGCCCACCCCAGTTTTGTTCCTGACTGGCCTTGTCTCGAGCTGAGCAGAGTCAGGACTGCTTAATTCTTGGAAGGAGACCACCAGAAAGAATTTTGCGGCTGTAGGCTGGAAGGGAAAGTTGAAGAACTTCCTGGAAGAAGAGGATGACAAATTAGTTCCATATTGCTGTCAAAAAAATGTCAAGGATGTGTCACTGAGAGTTGAACTGCACTTGAAGTTAAGGTCACTTTTTAATGAAAGAAGTGGCTAACGATGTGGTATTTTCAAAAATGCGTTGTTTGATGATCTGGGTGGATAGAAAGGTTGTGTTTGAGTGTTTCAAGTAAGGGTGCGTGCTCATTCCTGTAGATATGACATTATGGTACAATTAACCAGGCCTTGCTTGTCTTGATACCTTCCGAGTGAATAATCCTTGGGCAGAGGGGCCAAGAGGCACCTGTTGTTTGCTGCTACTGATTAAAGAATATTCTGTTGGCCCTCTAATGTATTCTTCTCTTTCAGTGGCAGGAGAGCCTCTCTTCATCTTTTAAATCAAGACCATCTTGATCAGAGCTGGCCTGTGAGCAGACCTCCATGCCCAGTTCTTGGGCTTGAATGCTTTCACCACTCACTTTGTTGTAGTCTCGGAAAATCTGCCTCATCTGAAACAAGTTCGCATAGCAGATTCCCAACCAAGATAAAGCAATCTCTGCCCATCTAGATAGATAGAATATAGGTTGTGTGTGTGTGTGTGTGTGTGTGTGTGTGTTCATGAAAGATAATTTAAACATTTTAAACATGAGTTATAAAGTGAACTTAAAATTAATCAAAGAAAGCAGCAGCTGCGTCTTCATGGTGGAATGACAGTAGATGGCAACTGCCCTTGTTGCCTCTTAATTGGTATCCGAGAGCAGCAGTCGAGGTGCCCATCCTCTGTCCGCAGCAGAGCATGCCTGCAAAGGAGTCCAACTGGTTTCTCCTGGCCAACTTGAAAAGGGAGTTTTGATGGCCAGGATTCAGGAACCTACCCTTTTCCCTGAGGTCCTGCATTTTGTCAATGAAAGAGTAGATGTAAGGGAGGAGACAAGGAGTCTACTCTGTAGGAGGCATCGGAGCCAATCTGTCCTGGTAAGAATCATTCATTAAGGAACTACTTCGTTTTAAATGGGCTGAAGTCTGCTGTGCCACAGTCAAACATCCTGCCCCCCCCCCAGCTACTCAGATTTCAGCTGCGCAGGGTAATAAATGTTTTGAGCTGCCTGCCTTGAGGAGAATAGACAACTGATGCCATTTTGAATTGCGAGGCCTTTGACAAACTGGTCTTATGTTTTCAGGGAGGTTTGATGTATTGCTGTCAGTGCTGACAGAGCCAGTGCCTTAGTTTGAAATGTTGTGGAATTTCTATAGACTCTTTTCTAGCGTATTCTTTTTTGACTTTGCACCTGCTCACTTAAGGGCTGTGCATGCTTAAGTGCAAGCGATCCTGGGCCTTAATTGCCCTTTTTTAATTCTAGGTGCAATTTCTCTGACAGTAAGGTGAAGGCATGTGGGCACACGTCTCAGAGATGTTGGCCTGTGTGGTGAGAAATCTGGAGGGTGATCCACCAGATCCAGGTTTGTATCTGTGTCTGTGTGAGGCATATTGGAATATATAGCTCCTTCTTTCTCTCTTTTTAACCAATTGTCAAGGGAGCATATTTCCTCACTTTTCCAGCCCAACCAGACTACTTTCCCAGCCCAGCACCATGTAGTTATTACTGGCAAGATTTTTAGAAGATTGTGACAAATCCTCCATTGAGACTTTCACTGGGGATTTGTTAATGGTCCAAATTTTAAAAACACCTATTTGATTCCATGAAGTAAAGATGAAAAAGAACTAAAGAG